GGGAGGGGAAGAGAGGCGCGGGTGGCCGAGGCCGCCTCGATGCGTGCCACCACGCTAAAGATAACAAAGTCCCTTAGGGTTGAAAACTGCCATTTCACTTACCGGAATTTTGCCATCCGCAAGGAGGATCAGATAGCGCACCATTTGTCCCAGAAACAGGGCTCGAACAGAAAAGTTCATCTTCTCCATGGGTATATGGGTAATCAGAATGTCACGCAACATGCGCTGAATGTCCACCTGAACATCACGATCAGTGATGTCTGCACCAGTCTTGCCGGTCGAACGCGAGGGCCTGAAACGGGGCTGGCGTAACTTGGACTGTAACCACCGACAAGCATCTTGCGTGGTGTGGATCTGTGCAGTTGAAACAAAATGTCAGGTCTTTCAGGAAAACGAATCGATGTTTTGACGCCAATACGGTCACTTTTATTAAGGGAAATACAGTAATCGCCGGTTATTAAGCCCACGGTTAATAAGCCCAACCGCTTATTAAGCCCAATTTGGTCTGGGCCCGAGGTGGGCTTAATAACCGGCGACTACTGCAATAGGCAAACGCCTTTGAACTTCCTACTGGTACACAACAGTTAAGAAACGTATTGGTAAAGCAGAATATTCCAAAAGAGGTCGTTTACATATTTGCTGGCGAAAGACGAGACGCCAGTTAGTTTTGAAAAGTAAACGTACATGCACACTTCTTGTCGTGTTCTTCCTTTGGGGACTCACACAAGGAGTTATTGAGCGGTGATATCTCTGCCTGGGCATCCGTAACAACAGTGTTCAACAAATTTATTACCAAACGATCGCAGAGAATGAGTGTCGTTGTCTGCTACTTAACTTCAGACTGCAAAACTCCTAATGTTTGCTGGTGGGTACATAATTCCCTGTAGAAATGATATATAACGCAAACCTTAAAAAGTAAAAACTCGGAAATCTAGCTACTCTGATCTAAACTGCTTTCAAATCACCGAACATTTTTCTTTCATCGAGTACCAGTCTAAAAGGCGAGGTTCGACGACAGAGACTAACTTGAGGCACAGAATCTGCGCAACCATATACGTGGGTGGGTGATTAGGTTCGGTTTCAACGTGCACTTTTCCAGTACAATCCTAGAGTGTATTATCCATCTTCTTCAAACTGGAAATGCGCCAGGCCGACCCAGTAGACGCAGGCTGAATTCAAGGACAAACTTGATCTGTACAAGGTCTTCGAGCACTTTGGGTGCTTAAAGCTCAAGC